TTTAATTTTATTTCTAAAACTAAATATGATTTCAATTTGGAGGCTTGGTCTACTTCTATTTTTGTTGTTCTTTTAATTATTGGAGCTTATTTTCTTAGAAAAAACTTGCATGTGTATTAAAAATATTTAAAAATCCAGAAGAGACGCAAAGGGCAAATATCATAAACAGAAAACACACATCATTTCCTTCACCCAGAGATAAACTTACTCATCATGTTGGACTCATATTTTGTTTATACATTTTCCCAAAATAATTATATCAGGCTGTATATCAAAATATTTCTCCTCATACATTAATATATAACAAAGCCTTAAGGGTCTTTTCAGACTCAGGCAAAAAATGAAATGATGAGTTCCAATGCTGGTAGAAAGTGACAGGTGTGTGTAAAGTGATGGGGAACTGAAGAAGGGAGCTGAAGAACCCTTTCTGGAAGCTAACAGTTGAATCTTGAAGGATGTCTGTGTTTGCCAGTCACAGAAGAGCAGAAAGCATTTCTCAGATGGAAGAAAGAGCTAGAAAAACTTCTCGAAACCTTAATAGACTGTGCCCTGTTGGAAACAGGGGATGAGTTTGGATTGCCTGGTGGGTGTGGTGCCTGAGTGGGTGGGGGTTCAACAGGAGGTAAGGAGAATGGGGTGAGTCTGTTATGAACAGCTTTGCTTGCCAGGCCATGGAGTATGGAATTTGTTCTGTTGACAGTGGGAAACCAGGGACTTTACAAAATCAATTACTGCCTTACATTGAGGCAAATAATACTGAGTGAGCACAACCAAAACCCAGCTTTACACTTTCCTTAAGGATGGATTTTTTCAAATCCAGGTGCTTAAAAACATCTTCCTATACAAGCCAAATACAGTCTTCTTGAAAATTTCTCAGGAAATTCCCATCACCTCTGCAGAAGCTTTCGAAGTACCGTTTGGAGTTCTTTAGTGGTCTCCCCTCATACACATTGCATGTAGATGACTCCTACAATGGCAAATTCATTCCTAAAGAATGGTCTGGGCAAATGTTGTTTAGGCCACTCTCTGTGATGGGAAGGAATGTATTTGGTTCTGCTAGGTGACTTCGGGAGAGATTTGATGGTGACAAAAACTATGGAACCCAGTATTTGGCTGGTTCTTGGTTTGGGGGTTTTCCCTCAAAAACCGGTTGTTTCTTAACCAGCTCATTTGCGCCGCCCAGTGGGAAAACGGTAGAATACAGCTTGGAAGGGTGGATCTAACTGAGTAGATGTTCTTCCTCAAAGACAGATCTGACCAGACAGATCTGACAATTCCTGGTCTGTTATTTCGCCCATTCTTTCCCTATAATAATGTTAGGAGACATCCCCATAAAGTTTTTCTCCTTCATTGTGAAGTGAAGAAAGCATTTGCAGTGAGGAAAGTCCTGGCTTTTCACAGACTAATGGCTTTAGATAATCCCATATCCTCTATCAAAGGGTTCCCGTGTGTGTGTGTGTGTGTGTGTGCGCGCACGCGCACGCACGTGTGATTCTTCCATATTTCTAGTGTCTGTAGTATTTTAGTGGCATAATTGTTTTTTATTGTTTACCCAGTGTACCTGTAATTCCTTATGGCATCCATCCAGGTAATGAAAAAATATCTTTGACATTTTGAAAATCCAAGAATGACTGCAACCATTTATAATTAATATATATCAATTAATATATGTCATTGTCTTCTGAATGCATCTTCATAAGAAATCCTCAGATGCTTTAAACCACAAATCACATGGTGTAGTGGAAATATCTGGCCTTTCCACTCAGGTACACCTGAGTTTAAGTCCTACCCCTTCCACTTTATGTGTGCCTTTGAGAAGTTACTGGCTGTCTCTGAGCCTGTGTCAGTGAACATGGCAAATCTCATTTCACAGGGTTAGTGTAAGAGTTATGGGGTGTAATGTCTGCAGGGCCATTGGGTCTAGGGGATAGCTGACCTTTGTCTGATGGAAGGCTCTGCACTTACCTGTTCTACTTGAGCGAATCAGTTCTGCTCAGAGGCCTGGATTCCTCATCTGTCAAATGAGGCCATAGTTCCTTCTCTTGGAGTTTTACAGATGCAATGACATAATACCTCCTTCACCCCCACCAAGTATCTGGCACCTCATAGGTGCTTAACAAATGCTAGTTCCTTTCTTTCCAAAAGTATTAACGCACTGCAAATAATTGCAGAATTAGTTATAAGGCCAAATTGTATTCATCCCATGATCTCTCCCCCAACACCTGTCTCTCTTGCTAGCTCAAATACTCACACAGGTGCACACCAGGCATTCCCACCTTGTTTTTCCCATCTTTGTCATCAGACAGTAACCAAAAGCACAAGAACTTTTGGAAACTTAACAAAGGAACAGCAAATTTATTTTAAGATTGTCACCATTTATTGCTATTCCTCACACCAAGTACATGAGTCCTTATTTGAGCAGTTAGGCGTTTTCCTGTGTCCCCACTCCACTGCCCCATCCTGGCTCGGTCCTCTGCTCCAGCCACAGCACCACCAGACCATAGAGGTTACCACCTTAGCCACCCTTCCGCCCCAACTCTCCAGTCCCCTTCTCCACACATCACTCATCAGACTTCTTCTTTAAATTGCCCCCAGGGTGGTTAAGTGTCTGACTTCAGCTCAGGTTATGATCTCGCAGTTTGTGAGTGTAAACGTTGCATCAGGCTCTGTGTTGACGGCTCAGAGCCTGGAGCCTGCTTCAGATTCTGTGTCTCCCTCTCTCACTGCCCCTCCCACTCTGTCTCTCAAATAAGTAAATATTTTAATTAATTAATTAATTAATTTAGGGGCTCACCTAAGTGCGAATATTATCAGAGAAGTCTCTTCAAGCCTCTGCTTGCCCTGACAAGAAGTGATTGTTGCCATGTGTGTATTTCTGAAGAGAAGGAAATTAATGTATGTTGAGTCCGGGCATACCTTAACACTTTTAACCTTCCCAGTCACATTGTCAGGCAGGTATCACTGTTCCATTTTATAGATGAGGAGACTGAGGGCCCATTCATCGGTTCCTTAAACAAACATGTATTTAATATCAGTTACCACCACCAGGAATAGAGCACACATGGCCCCTTCCTTTGTGGGTCTTACAGGATCTGACATGGGATGAATGAATCTAAGAGGCAGGGAGGAAACAAATGATAGACTCTTCCAGTTGTGAGGAAGGATACTATGAAAGGCAGAAAAGGGGGATATCTCCTATCTCAGAGCTCAGGGAGAGTATTCCTAAAGAAAAGACATTTCTGCTAAAACCTAAAGACTCAGGGAAGTCACACAGGTAGGTAGTGAGGACAGAAGTGACCTCTAAACGTGGGTGGAATTTGGAGACACCATGCCTCATGGCCTTTTCTCCTCTAAATATTTGCATTTATGTCACTGTATTTTAGCTTGTGATCTACATTTCTTTCTCTCTGATAGATCATAGCTCCTTGCAAACAACAACCTCATCTCCCAGACACGTGATACATAACGTAAATCATGAGCATAAGAACTTGGTCATTTAGTGTTTTAATATGTGTATCTGTATGTGATTGCTTGTCTTTAATAATATTATGAGGATGCAAAAGTACCTAGACTATCCCATGTATATTCTGTTATTTCTTTAGCCAACACATTGGTATGGTTTTCTAAGAGAGTCTCTAAGCCCCTGGGCACTCCTGTTCTCAAACCCCTTTTACTCAGATGTTTTCTGTTTTATAAGCTGAGGGGATGGGGTCAGCACATGAGAGAGGTAGCTGCTCTAAGCAGCCCTGCAGCGGGTGGAACTTGAGAGCGGCTCATTCGTTTGCATACAATGATGTAAAATGTGTCCTTCCAAATGCTGCAGGGCACTGGGCTCATTCCCAGCCTATCCAGGCCATTCTTGGAGATGAAAGTGAAGTGGCTGCCCTGTGCCAGGCACTGTGTTAGGGCAGTGAATATAAAATGAATGGATGCTGGCGATTCCATGCATGTTTCTTTTCTTGACACACAGTGGCTCACAGTGGAGTAGGGCCCACAGATGCCCATAGTCCATGCATACAAACCGATGTACACACCAGCTCATTGCATGCAAGGCTCCAGGCTGGCACAGGTGAAGGAGTGGTTCACTCCACGGAGGCTGGGGCAGGAGTCTCAGAGGGTCTCCCAGGGCTCTTGAAAGTCGTCTTGGCTGAGTTGGGAAAATGAGTGGCAGTTAGCTAGGTAATGAGGGCAGGCTGTGGGAGGAGGAGGGCACACAGGCAAAGGGCTTCCCGATGCAGAGGCCCAGAGGAGAGCAGATTGCACATTAAGGATGTGCAGATGCTCACAAGAGCCAGAAGATGATGGAAATGAGTGAAAGGCCAGGTGGTTGCATGTCAGACATGTTGGTATATTCTTCGTGCCCATTAAAAAAGTCCTCTTTCCTACTTTACTTCACTTATACTCTCTTATGGTATCCTTCATTTTTCCATCTTTGACTGAAACTTAGGTAAAAAGAAATTGTTCTCTCCTATTAGAAAAGGAGCAGCCTAACTTGTTGGGATGAACACTGGGTGTTGTATGGAAGCAAATTTGACAATAAATTATATTAAATAAAAAGAAAAGAAAAGTAGCAGCCTAAATCTATGATAATATCAGTCAGAAATGATACTTGACTCCTCCTGGGGAGACAACTGGGAGTAGTGGGTACTGGGGCCAACTGGAGACCATATTCTCCATCTGAAGAGGACAGACATTCTTCAACTGCAGCTGTCCAGCGGCTCCAAATCTTGTAGTTAAAAAAAAAAGGGGAGCAACCTGAAGTTTTGGTAAGTTAGCCAAGTTGTTTTTTTTTTAATATTGCTTTGATTAAAACAAAGACAAAAAAAAAAAAAAAACCTGCAGACCAAATGGAACACGTTCATGTGCTGAGCCTTATCCATGGCTGTGTTTGCAAGTTCTTGTTTAAAGGCCCCAGAGATTGTGAGGGCTATTTTTTAGAATCCTTCAACATGTCATCGCTTCTAGTCACTCCTAACCATCCTTCTCTCCCTGCTTTCCAGAAAGAGATGACGAGCAGGATGTGTCACTAACGCCCCACGTCCCCTTTGGAAGACAGAGGAAAGCTCTTCCCCCCTGGAGCCCTGTGCCGCAGGAGGGAGCCCTCCCCCAGCCAAAATGGCACCTGCTTCCAGGAGCAGGAAAGGTGGAGAGGAGCGGTGATTCCTGAGAGATTCCTGAGAGACGTTCCCCACTCACCCCGTGTGCTCTTAACCCTCTGAGTGCTGCTAGCCACGGCCTGTGGACCTGTCTGACCACGGAGTGCGGGGAAGGACCGCCCCTCCCCCTGCTGGCTCTCAAGTGCCCTGAGGAAGCCTCTGCACTTACGTGTGCGTCACAGTCTGCCTGTGACCTGCCGCCTAAGCTTTACGGAATTCAGGTTTTGAGACTGAGACACTTACTTGTACTTTCCCACTCCTGTCTTGTCAACTGGCCGACTTTTCTGTACCGTGTCTTCTAAATACCGGGTGAATTTTGGAACTCTGGTTGAGCAGCAAGTTTGTCTATAACAAGCCTTCCTTTCTGGTCTTTGAAAGCGTCCACCCTGGTCTCATTCTATGGTTTAACTTCCTGCAGGACCATGAAGCCTTGAAGAGATCTGAGACCCCCACACTGCAGCCTCAGCAAGAATTCCCTAAGAGGCAGTTTTATCAGGGATCTCCCATGACCCCAGACAAACCTTAACTATGGGGAAGGGCCTGGCTGCTAGCATAAAGCTGATGGGTTAGCAGTTAACTCTGAATAGAATGTGCTTTTTTAATAGCCACACCATTCCTTGTCTCTTCTGTTCAATTTTTCTTCCTGTTTCCCAGAAGAGAGGAATAAAAGGAAGTTATAAATGACCAAGAATGATCAGCAAAAGCTCTGAGCCAGATTAGTGCAGTGTTTGTTCTTGAGCAAAGGGTAGGGAGTTCTGGCTATCTCTACATAATACTGAAATTTCAGTGAAAAAAAATTAAATAAGTGCCATTGGCTCTTTGGTACACGTAGCTCAGACACCCAGCTCATTGGCTTGTCACCTTCCCAGCTGGCCCTCTGAGCTCCTACGTCCAGCCCGTGTCTTCTTTCTCTTCCTCTGCACACCCCCTCCTCGACCGTATTATTTTAGGGCACAGAATTAATTTCTGCCCCTATGATTGTGCCACAGTTGCCAAGGCAACCGTGTAACTGGAGCTAACGTCCTTCTTCCATTCCTTCCCAGTTTTCCTATTCCAGTAAACAGAATAACACATTCTGTGCTACGTCCTGCCTTTTGAAACCCAAGTGAGTCTTAGCTGAAGAAACGTTGCCTTCTCTGCTGCATTCACGGAACTGGTGGTGGTCACGGGAGCCTGTGATCCGAGGGTGATAATACTCCGGCGATCTTTGGAATCTGACAAAATAGCCGTTGGTGGAGGGAAGTAGATAAGAATGTATTAGTGCATTTTAATGTAACACCGATTAAAGAATAACTAAACAAGTCTGATTTCCTTTCATTATATGCAATGTATTAAAGCCATTTGTGGCTGCCGCAGGAACCTAGAGAGCATGAAATCTTCCTTCGTCCAGAGAAAGGGCTAACTGTCTGGGCAGTGTGGCATTCTGCCCTCACCCGGCCAACTGACCTTTGCTTCTGATCTGGTCAGAGTTATCTCATGGAGTCCAAATGCTGCTACCTCTTTCCATATTGTTGTGCTTTGGTCCACACCAGACCCCCTCCCCTTTTCTTTTGGCTTCCTAAGTAACTCTGAGAGGACAAGATAGGCAAAGATTCTTCTGAGCATCACTTTTGGCTGAAAGAATATGACCGTCCTAAGGATCCAGAGATCAGAGAAATAAGGCCCCCCCCCATTCCCAACCTATGCAATGCACTGTAAAGTACCGCATGGGAATGTCCTGGCAGAGGGACAGAGAAATGACAGCATGGAGCCCATGCCCTAGGAGGAACCCCACAGCTCTGCCATCATGGAAAACCATAGGATTTTTGCATTAAGAAGTTGACTATGTTCCTGCATTTCAGTAATGCCTAATCAAGCAGGACGCTGGACTCTGAAGACATTTGTTATTAATTCTTTTTAAGTTTGCTTCCTATTAACTGTGCATATGAAATTTCCATTCAATTTTAAAAAGACAAATATTTTTTAAACTTCTTGGCACAATTTCCTCCTGGTTATATTTCTAATTGCATTAATCAACTCCTCTAGGATAAAGTCTGGCAAACCACTCTTATTTTTTAATTACAGAGTGTTCCTTTCTCCTGCAGAACTTTGTTTGGCCAATTCTAAAGAAAATTATCACAAGCAATTTTATCTCTTTGACCTGACTGCATCCTAAGTACATTTCATTACAACCAGGGGAATCTGAGCCTCACATCCTGCATCTGCCTCCTAACCTGATGGGCTCTCCTTCATTTCGCACCATTTTTTTTTAGTTGGACACATGCATCCACCACCTTTTTTTATTTCAAGAAATTTTAAAGTGGAAATTTCAGAGACAAGATTACAGTGAATATCCAAATCCCCTTCATTTATGCACATCAGTTGTTAAAAATTTTTAATTGTTGGCAGTTTCCATATATTTTCTTTTTCTGTAAATATACATTCTTATTGCTGAACCATTTCAAAATATGTTGCAGACATCGTAAAACTTTTAATACTTTGTCATTTGTCCCCAAAATGTTTATAGCTTTTGTTTGTTTACCCAGGATCCAATTATGAATCACATGTGGCATTTGTTGTCATTCTCTTTCGTTAATGGGTTAGAGTTCTTGCCTTATGTGTGTGTGTTTGTGTGTATGGCATGGTGGTGGTGGTTGTGGTGTATGTGTGTCATGACACTGACATTTTTTGTAGAATGTTCTACAATCTGGAATTTTTTTCCGATTTTTTTCCTCTTTATTAGACTCAGTTAAGTTTTTTTTTTTTTTTTTTTTTGAGCAAGAATACTACAAGTGGTGTTTTGTTCCTATTGCATTTATCAGGAAGCATATGACCAGTTGTCTCTTTCCATGATATTAAACTTGGCCAGAGGGTTCAGGTGTTGTCTGCCTGATCCATTCATTATAAAGGTGCATAATCCATTAAGAAGCTCTGAAATTCAGCATGCACACATTTTATAGTTTGAGACAGTGCAAATATGCATTCCTTTCTTAATTTTCTCAGAGAGGTCCAGGATGTTCAAAATATTATAACCCTTGCAGTTAAATGATACAGCAATGACAAAGGATTCATAACTTCCCATTTAACAGAGGGAAGGGGAAGTAAGAAGGGCACTAGATTAGTATGCTGGCTAATGAGAGTCTGTATGATCCCTGTAGCAAACCCACTTTTTTTTCTCCCACCCTCAATGACTTCCCATTCAGATCCATGGTTTATTTTAGAGAGCATGCATTTTCATTAAGGTTGATTGCTCTCAAGGAAGCAAAAATTGTGGGGAGCATTGGGGGGATGGAGGGAGGAATCTTAGATATTACTGTGGGTTGTGGCCCTTCAAAGGGCCATAGTACATAAACAGATAGAAAGCATATATGTGGTATTAAACTTTCACGAACATGATTAAGAATAAACTGTCTCAAAAGGCTCCTTAAGAGGTTGATAATGAAAAAATAGGTTAGGAAATACTCCTCTAGAGTCAGATTCTGCTTCATAGGTTGTTAACTCTCTCTTCCTGGAGTGTTTTCTCATTTCTGAGTGCTGGGATCAGTGGAAACAACTTCGAGAGATTCCTCCATCCATTCCTTCTACCCTCCCAAACACTATCAGTAACCTTACTGGTGAAAATCCCTTTCTCCTCCCGAAGACCTTCAAGCATAGACATTCTACAACATCTTTTGATGTACCCCCACTGAACATTTTACAACACCCGAAATCCTGCCATCTGACCTGAGCCAAACTATTATCTTTGGGTTTCAGCATACCTTTCCTAGAGTCTCACATTAAGAAAGGCAAAGATTATCTAGGATAAGAAGTGTGAGCAATGAGAGCTTTATTTGCATATCCACCAAGTATTTGAAGACTGTCACCAATGGGCTTCAGCCTCCTTTCCCTTCAGCTCTCCCAGGGGCAAAATTCTCACAGAAGCCCTGTTGCCCAGTTGCTAATATTTCTGCACCTCAACTTGAACCCTTCCCCAAGCTTTCCATGTTACTGAGCACTATAGAGGTAACCAGCAGTGAATGTGTAAGAAATTACCACATGCTTTCTCCAAACTCTATTGTGTCTTTGCTAAGTCATGACTTGCTTGCTAATACATTTGTAGCCATAACTCTATTATATTCAATTATTTTGGTTTATCTTCCTGAGTTTCCTTTCTACCTTTGATATTCCTCAGCAGAGAAGAATGTTGTTTTAACCACTTCTTAATTGGCAAAGCACTGAGACTTGGATGGACCTCCTCTTGTATTTTTGTGGTGAATTAGGCCAAGTCATCATCTGGTCATTGTTGGAAGCACATCATTCCCGGTGGTCTCTGACCTTCCATCACTCCCACATCCCATGGGTATCACAGTGTGAGTGAAAGAAATATTATGGGACAAGTACATTCGTGTCTTCAAGGAATGTGTACAAAGGCAAAATCACGAAAAGAAGTCGGGTGTGTGACTTGGATAATACTGTTGTCATTTGTGCTTGGCACATTTTGGTCCTTGATAAAATAGGTGATTCTCTCCTAGAATTAGCCAAACAAAGTGTTTTGGAAATAGAGGGGTTCTTTTCCCTGCTTTAAAAAATATATCAACAACAACAACAAAAACTTATAACAGGTTATTTCCCTATGAGCAGTTATTAATTCTGAGTGAGAAGTTTTTGATGACTAAATAAGGACTTTTATAACTTTTAGAGGGAAGAGTCCATTTCTAATCTGAAAGTTAAGCTGTTTTACTAGCTTTTAGTGTTCTAATGTTAAAGTTTTCCAGTATCTTTTCTAATATAATATAAAAAATGTTTACTGTATTTTAGTTCCATTTGAGATTAAATTAAGGATTTGACTCTAAGAACAAACTAACACAATTAGACCAATTAGGAAAGCAAGAGGAAATGAAAGGGTATTTATGGAATCAGTTCATGTGAGCTTAGGGATTCAAATGTCATAAATAAAAGACACGTAACTATCATCTAGTCTGTCCTTTTTGTGTGTGCTCAATTTCTCTAACAAAAATGTTTTTTATTCTGCAGTGATCCTTGAACAGATAAATGAAAAGAAAACTTAACTCTACAAAAAGTAATTCAAAGTGTATTTGAGAACACACATACATATATTTGTATTTTAGCAGAAGTTCCTTTATACTCTTCAGATTTTCACAGGATGGTATGTCATGCATATAGTTTAATGTTGTACATCTTTTTATTGTGGTAGAATTCAATATTAAATTTGATGACAATCCGGCATTGAAATATAATAAACCTTGACTATAGAAATAGCTCATCAATCAGAATAAGTAAACCTGAGTTTTAACCTCAGGTTTGCCACTGCCTTCCTCATGTGACCTTGAATATCATATTTAATTGTTCTTTGTCTCAGATTTTTGAACTGCAACTGCTCATGGACTTGTTCCTAAAGAACTTATAATTATTTTTGCAAAGTAATATAATGTAAAAATATTAACGTATTTGGACAACAAATACATAAATCCTGTATATTATAGTATTAGTACATTTACAGCCACTTTATAATAATTGTAAATGCCTCCAGTAACAGCCACTGTAGCTAATAGCAACAATTGAATACTATGTCTGACAAAAGCTATTTGTGATGAGGTAATTTCTAGACAGAGGGCAATGAGGAATGGGACTTCTGGTACCCCAGCACAAATACAAAGGGCTCCTCTACTTGAGTTCCACTGTTTGAAATGTACACTGAAATGTGACAGAGAAGCAGACTGTAGACTGAATTTGGTCTGCAGGCATGTTTTGTTAGACTAACACAGTTTTGGTTTTCTTTTTTTTTTTTATGTTTATTTATTTTTGAGAGAGAGAGTGAGTGTGTGTGCATGCATCCACACAAGTGGAGAAGGGGCAGAGAGAGAGAGGGAGACACAGAATCCCAAGCAGGCTCCAGGCTCTGAGCTGTCAGAACAGAACCTGATGCGTAGCTCGAACTCAAGAACCGTGAGATCATGACCTAAGCCGAAGTCAGATGCTTAACTGACTGAGCCATACTGGCGCCCCTGTTTTCCATTTTTTTTTTTAAACTAGTTGCCAACGGGCACCTGGGTGGCTCAGTCGATTAAGCGTCCGACTTCAGCTCAGGTCATGATCTCACAGTTCGTGGGTTTGAGTCCCACGTTAGGCTCTGTGCTGACAGCTAGCTCAGAGCCCTGGAGACTGTTTTGAATTCTGTGTCTCCCTCTCTCTCTGACCCTCCCCTGCTCATGCTGTCTCTCTCTCAAAAATAAATAAAACATTTAAAAAAATGAAAATAAACTAGCTGCCAACATTTTGAAATTGAGAAATTTGACACCTAAAAATCAGAATGTCTGACTCC